GGGAACGGGGGTCTCGGAGCTCCAGCCCCATGGGGCGCATCTGCCAGGGCTCGGGGCTTCAGCAGGAGGGGGGCTGAAGCCCCGAGCCCTGGCAGGCACGCACGCCCCAGTTCTCAAACTTCTGAAGACTGTCACATGCAGCTCAGAGGGTCAGTAAGTTTGGAAATCCCTCGTCTGTAAGTATCTACATGGGAAACAAATATTTAATAATGGGCTCTTTGATCTAGCAGAAAAAGGCACAACACAATCCACTGGCTGGAAGCTGAAGCTAGACAAATTCAGACTAGAAATAAGGTGTAAAATTTTAACTGCGAGAGTAATTAATCGTTGGAACAACTTCCCAAAGGTCGTGGTGGATTCTCCATCACTGACACTTTTTCAATCAATATTGGATGTGTTTTTAAAAAAATATATATATATATGCTCTAGGAATTATTTTGTGGAAGTTCTATGGTCTGTGTTATACAGCAAGTCAGAGTAGACGTCACATTAGTCCCTTCAGGCCTTGAAATCTATTGAGTCAACCTTCAATTTTTTAGAAGTAGTTGCAGTCTTTTGCTAGTCTTTAGAATGTATTGCTTTATATACAAATAAATAGTTTGGTGCATCACTAAGTGGCAATAAAGTTCTGAAGTACTATAGAAGCAATTAACAGTTCCACTGGAGAAAAATATCTGTCAGTATCTTCATAATAAATTGTATACTTTTTTTTTAAATGTGATTTATAGGTATTATGACTATCATGATCATGGCAAAAAAATAAACCCAAAATGCCATTTTGCAATTTCAGTCACTTTTGCTCTCTGCCAACTAGTGAAAGCAATGGATTTTAAAAAATGAAATTTTGCAGTTCACTAGCCCAAAATGTTAATTTGAGTTTTTGGCTAAATTATTTTGAAGGATGTGAAGCAGCAAGTAAATAGTCATTGTATTTATGTTATAAAGTAGCATCTGTGCATGTGCAACAGCTAGTTTTCATATCCATTCCACACAGATGGGAGATTATCCAATATCTAGTATTCAAGGGTATATTTCAAACTAACCTTTACACATCTATCTTTTCCTGGGATTCTGCATAATATCATTATGAGACACTTCCAGGCTTTTCCATTTACCAAGATTTTGCATAGTAATTTAAGAAAAATCATAATATCTTACATTTATGGAGCATCTCCCATCTCCAGGGAGCCTAAAGCATGTTGAAAACTGGAAATATACAGAGAGATTCATTTTATTCATCATTTCAATATGGTAACTGCTAGATAGGTTTATCCTACTAGGTGCTAAGCACCCTCAATCCTCCTGGAATGTGTGGTTGGGTGACAAAATTGAAATCAATGGGTAATCTGTACCTCACAGGATCAGTCCATATGGGTTCAATGCTGAAAGGTGCTGAGCACTTTGGCCCCAATCCAGCAGGCAAAAAACTCTAAGCACAGGCTTCAAACCCAGTGGCTTCTATGGAATTTACGTGCATAATTAAGTTCTTTACTGAATAGGAATGAATTCAGCACATACTTAAGTGCTTTGCTCAGCCAGGACCTAAGAGTGCACTGCACTATACAGCTAATTAAAAAAAACTAACACAGAAGAGTGAGGGTAAAATATTGGAGCTACCAATCTTATTAAATCACAACAAAGACATTTAAGGAAATCCTTAAAAGAAAAAGACATTAAAACTGAAGTAAGAGGGAGAGTTAAATCAAAACAGACAGCAATTCCCAACTTTGGCTACCACGTCATCCTTAAAACTTGGAACTGACACTGGGAATTGCTGCCTATAAGGTAAATAGTGGATGCCTTTAATGTTCATTCTTCATGTTTTTATTCAATTGAAGGTAGAAACAATGGTATTTACAATGTTTTTATATGGAATACTTGAAACCAAACTTTAAAGTTTTAGACTTAACCAAGAAAATTACCATGCTATTCATAGACTCCAAGACCAAAAGGAATCATTGTGATCATCTAATCTGACTCCTCCATGACACAGGCAATAGAACTTCCCCAAAATAAGTCCTAAAACATATCTTTTGGAAAAATATCCAATCTTGATTTTAAAATGGTCAGTGATGGGGTTGTTGCAATGGTTAATTACTCTCACTGTTATAAATGTATGCCTTATTTCCAGTCTGAATTTGTCTAGCTTCAACTTCCAGCCACTGGATTGTGTTACAACTTTCTTTGCTGGATTGAACAGCCCATTATTAAATATTTGTTTCCCACGTACGCACTTATAGACTGTAATCAAGTCATCCCTTAACCTTCTCTTTGTTAAGCTAAGTATATTGAGTTGTTCACTGTTACAGCAACACACACAGAACTGGGAATGCATGGAGCAGCTGAAGTGGTGTGGGAAAAGGGGGAAGAGAGCTGGACTCAACATAAGGCCCCAACATCCCACATGAGCAGAAGCAAACTCCACATTTACTCCTGGGGGCATTCTGCGCCAAAAAATTAAAAATTCTGTGCACAATATTTTAAAATTCTACAAAATTCTGCAAATTTTATTTGTCAAAACAACTACATAATCAAGACAGTTTCAATTATTTTGGTAATTTATTTCAAAATATCTGTCAGCAAGTATGTCTGTAACAATACAGACACATACAGGAGTAGAGTGTTAAAGAAACCCCTATGACAACCCAGTTCCTGTTTCTCCGCCGCCTTCCCCACCCTGAGCCCAACCAGGGGGCCAGACACCCATAATCCCTCCCTCCCCTCAAGAACCCAGCCGCGGGGTCCCCCCAGCCCAGATACCCACATACACATGCCAGCCATGGCCCCCCCAGCACCGACACACACCCCCTCAGAGCCTAAGGATGCAGAGGGAGAAACAGCACTGTGCTGGGTCTTGGGCTTGTGTGAAGTTTCCTGTGCGCTGCTGTCTCCTTCCCTCGGGGCGTGTAGGGAACTGCAGCTGCTGGCAATCCTCTAGCTCCCTCCCCCTGACAGTGTCTTCTATGTATATGCTGGGCTCTGCTGGGTCCAGCAACCCCTAGTGGCAGCCAGCAGCACTGCAGTCCATTTCTGTGGGGGGAAAGGAAATGCTGCACACACATTTCCGCAAAATTCTGCATTGCACAGAATTCCTCCAGGAGTATGTCACAGTACAGGAGATGGGGAGAATGCCAGATCAAGCTCTCCCTGTAAGTCTTCTGGAACCAGTACATGACCTTAGCAGCCCAACTTCCTTGCCAGGGGCTCTGCAGGAGCCAGAATCCTCATTAGGGTGACCAGATGTCCCAATTTTATAGGGACAGTCGCGATTTTCAAGTCTTTTTCTTATATAGGGTCCTATTACCCCCCCACCCCATTCCGGTTTTTCACATGTGCTGTCTGGTCAGCCTCATGGACCCAACAATTGACACCATTAGCCCATCCCCACTTCTAGGATAACAGCCTTTTCATATTGACAGCTAACATAGTCAAGTCTTGTAGCTCATGCAATAGAAGCCTGTGCTGTGGTGCTGAAAATTCAGGAATTAAACTTTGCTTGTGCTGCATGGGGTTATTATAGTTGTATATAAACAATATGGGGCGGGGGGGGGGATTTCCTTTAAAAAAAAAGGAAATTAAATACAAAAACAAAACAAATACATAAAAGTTTATTATTTAGGTTTCAAACTCAAGCACAAAGTTAGAAATGCCAAATTTATGGTTGCCTGTACAGTCTTAAATTTGCCCCCCCCCCTCGTGTGTATATTCATTATGATACAGTATTCAATTACATGATCACATTCTATACACATGCTGGAAGCTCAAGGGGGCAAAATAAGTTTGAACAAGAAATCTTAAATTTAGCATATTTTCTAACTTTTGAGTGCTTGACTTCGCAATCTAAAAAAAGGACATTTAATAAGGTATCATATTAACTCCACAAAGATAATAGTATGGATAAAAAGCTAGACTGTGTGACATTGCCTTTTACTTAGCAGTGAATTCCTGTCCAGAAATGTTGTGGGTGCCAATGATTCCTGGTAAAGTTGCAGCCCATTTTTGTCACCTTTGAGCTAAAATTGACATATGGCCTCATTTCATACTTGTCTACAGAAACTTATATGTTGACAGTACTGTCCATTTGTCCATTCGTCAGCTGAATGACAATACTTGATCATCATTGGGTAGAGAGTATTGTAGTGACGAGGATGGTTTTGTTTGTGGCCAAATATTTTTAATTTTTGTAAATGGGCTCATTTATTGTCATGACGGATACAACAAATCATTAAATACATTCTGTTTTCGTAATTTGGATAGAAAGAGATGCTCCACTGTACCTGAGCTCTGCCTTGGCACTCTGCAGAGGAGAGACTTACAAGGAAATGATTGTGGCTCTTGGATTCTCAGGTGCCTGACTCTAGTCTACATTAGACACAGCATACCCGTGGCCCCTCCAAGCCCCCTTCTCTCCTCATCCCTTTCTTCCCCTTTCATACTCCCGCACCCTTCCTTCTCCCAACACATCCCTTCTCTCCTCTAATGCCAAAAAGAATAGGTGCAAGAGGCAGCAAAACTTCCTCTCCCATTTTTACACTGGGGGAGGTTTCCCCTATCAAGGGGAAACTCTCCAGCACAAATCTCCTGCCAAAAATCACGGTGGTGGACTGGAGAATCTAGTCCCAAAGCATTAAGGGAAAAGACAGGCAAATGCATTATATCAAACGTCTTTAACCATCATAATCACCCTTCTCCTCTTCCCTAGATATATTTCAAAGTGTTAGTTTTGAAAACAAGTTCATTTGGAAACACTGAAATAATGATCAAAGAAAACAAAACTAGATACATCAAGTCTTCATTCTTATATTAGTGGCCATTCAACATCATACTTAAAATATGGCAGATTTTTAGGAAGTACTAAATGAGGCTTGACCAGCAACATAGAAAAAATACTAAAGCAAATAAGACTTTTTAAAATACCTCTCATAACTTGAAGAAATCCATTTTCTTCAGAAACTGCATTAGATACCGAACAAAAAAAAATTATGTAACTTTACACTTACTTGGTGATAATTCTGGATTTCCTTTCAAATTCATCATCTTTGGAATTGAAGGGCCATATACATCTGCATCAAGCAGACCAACTGCTTTTGTCTGTAGGACCAAAAAATTATGAAGGTCAACACATCTTTTCTGCTTCAAGAAAAATTATCAGTTAAGCAAACTTTCAAAGCTGGCTGCAAAAATACATGTATGATCTTGATTTCATCCATAATTTAACGCTGTTCCCGCCCTTTCTAAGATACATTTGAAGCAAAAAGTATTATGCATTAAGTACAACAATATTGTCCCTCTAGGATTTGAGCCAGTGGATTCAATTGCAAGAACTAGTTTCTCAGTAACCAGCATCCTCACTCACACAATGAAATATTCCTTATTTATGGTGTTTGCTGTTGATTATTTATGGAAAACTACACCACGAACTTCCTTCTCTTTACACATATATACAAAAGTGTCACAGTCTGGCAAAATATATTCTGCCTCATTATACTTAAATTTGATGTTTTCTATATTAATCAACTGGTAGTGAACAAAGAAATAAAATGAAATAATAATAAAAGGTTAAAATGAAAGGTGAAAATATATTTATGGGACCAGAATCCTTGTCTTCAGATTTCCACATGATAGTTAAAAGAAAATTCAGACTGATGAAGCCAACTGAAGCTGTTATACATGATCCATATTTATTATAAAAGAATGCTTAAAATGTTCTCATTTTTGAACTGCTGCCATTGACAAGACAAATAAAAATACGGATTATTCAAATACGTAGATAGGAAATTATTTAGACAAGGAACTTTACATACAAAATTATAACTACTGTTTCCAGGTTTACAACGAAAGCCATTTCAAGAATGGTTACATACATTTTAATTTTAGCAAAAAAAGTGTTATTAGCACCAACCGCCGAGATGCACTGCAGGTTACAGCATCTTGCAAACTATCAAGTAAGGAACCAGTCTTGTAAGTTCTTGAGCACCTTCAACTTCAGTGAAAGCTGATGGCATTCAACACCTTGCAGAATCAGGACCTCAGTAAGCAAACAAAATTTGGGCCTGTTTTAAAGCCTATGAAAGTCAATGGGAGCTTTTCAGTTGACTTCAGTTCACTTTGAATCAGGCTGTCAATGGTCATGCACCAAAAAATGTACTTTGGTATTTATTTTGAATGAAGTCTTAATAATAGGAGACCTCACTGCTATAGCATTCTTCTATCACATCTGTGATGAGAAGTAGGGTGAGACAGTTGAGCTCTTGAAAATAATCATATTTGTGACTTCGAGTGTAGAGAGGTTTCTACTGAATATCTTAGAACTTTATAAAGAAATGTCTCTAGCTTTGAACAACATATCCAAATGTGAAATGATATCCATAATGTCATTCAGGTTACTATGAATTTTATAACAGCACAAAATAGCTTTCATTAATCAAGTTTTCCAAGTCAGATGTGTTAAAAAAAAAACCCATGAAAGAAATGTACTTTAATCAAAATTATAAATATTTAGTTCACTATTTGTTAAATGATTCTGAATTATAAGTATATATTTTAAAATTTTAAATTTTTGAATAAGCAGGATTTAGTTCATAAAAATGCGTGCAACTGAGTGGTAAGTTTGTCGGTTTATTTAACGCTATTTTATTACTAGGTTATCAGTCAAGAGAATTAGATATTTATATTGTTATAACAGAGTTCAGAAAGACAGCAATAATACTTAATCAATTTAAAAGATTTCATCTTTGCAGTATATAAACATAGTGCGCCACGAAGTATTAGTGATGAAAAATAAAAACTTATTGCTATAAATCATGGTTGTGATCTTTAAATGAAAAGTAACAATCAACTGTCACCATAAATTCAAACTAGTATGTGGCTACATAACATTCTGTTCTCTGTTCTTGAATATATTTTTTTTATCTGAAGACTGGTAGACTGGACAGTATATGTAATCCCCACTAAATGAAATCTTAAGCTTTCATCTCTGTGGGGTTTTTTTTTTTTGTGTTTGTTTTACTTTTTTCTTTATAATTTATAACATCCTGTGAAAACTATAAAAAATACTGTTGTTACTCTGACAAGTTATACTGTTTCATGCCTAATGTATGAAAGCTGCAATTTAAAAGATCGGAAAGCCCCATTTTTATGTTAGATTTCAAAGGCACCAACAACAGTTTTTGCGCTTCTTTGTTCTTTGACAAAATGCATATTTTAAAAGATTATAATGATTTCTGACTCAGTCCTTTTATCCATGTCAGCAGCTAATTGAACCCATCAAAACATCATTTTAGGAATTACTTCTGAAATCAAAGTAAATATTACCAGCAGAACCTACCTACTGATTTAAAACTGATTGACATTCTTCCCTCCACTGCTTTTTGTGGGTTTTTTGCAACAAGTCCCATGAACATCCAGAGAGATAATGGAATGAGTTTTGGGAACTCCTTGCTACAATTTTGACATCTGATTGAGGGAAGTGAAAGTTTAAGATAATTTCACTGCCACTGACGGAGTTCATGCTCTCTCGCTATACTGCCAAACCATCCCCACCAGAGATGATTTCCTCCTGGGATTAAAAATACTTATGAGCAGCAAATATTATGCCTATGGAGTGCAACAGATTACACTAAATCCAAGATGTATAAAATAAATAAGTACTCTGGGGATGATACCTTCATATCTCATGGTTTTCATACCGCAAACATTCAAACACTATTCCATATTACAAATCTGATCAGTATACAAAATACACAGTGATAGCTTAATACATTTCCTCAAAAAATCAATGTAATATGTTTGTTTGCCAAGCAATTTTGCCTCTTTCCAGGATTACAGTTAAAATTAAATGTTTTTGTAATAACAGAAAAAAAACCCACAACAGATTCTCTAGCTGCTTAACCTCTCTTTTCTGCAAGCACAAAAACCTCTGGTATGGGAGATTTGTCACACGTTTATAGAAAAAGGTCTCTTGGGAACCCTCTGCTAAAACATTGGCAGAATGTCACTGTAGACATCGTAGTGTAGGCTTTTCTTCGCCAAGCTATTCAATCCCATATGCCGAGATGACTCACATCTCCCTAAGGCAGCAGCTTGCACAGAAAAGGTTGGCCTCAGAAGTGAGCTTTTACTTTTTCCTCCAACCTTTCATTTTGGGCAGCCAAGTATCCCTGGTGTACTAATATCCATCCTTTATTCTATTTTAATTACACTGGCAGAACCTTACTGAAGCTATCAAGGAATCTTCTAAGATTGGCACAGACTGAAGTATCTCTTCCAACATTTTCACAATGCTCTAAATCCCCACAGGCCCAAGAGAACACATCTTAAGGGTTCACCAGGATACCATCCTTATATCACATTGCTGTATCAGAGCTATTCATCCAGTCTATTTCAGATACTGACCAGAATGTAATACAGGTATATGAAATCTGTATTTAAAAATAAGGGATAATTTAAGGAACTCAAACTTTTTTAAAACAGTATGCATTTCAAAAGTAAAACTACTACTTTTACCAATGATTTTCTTGGAAGGTATAAATATTTAAATGTCCTAATATAATAAAAACTAAGGCTGTCAAATGATTAAAAAAATTAAGTGAGATTAATTGCTCTGTTAAACAATAATAGAATACCATTTATTTAAATATTTTTGGGTGTTTTCTACATTTTCAAATATATTGATTTCAATTATAACAGAATACAAAGAGTACAGTGCTCACTTTTTATTTTTATTACAAATATTTGCACTGTAAAAAACAAAATAAATAGTATTTTTCAATTCACCTAATGCAAGTACTGTAGTGCAATCTCTTTATCATGAAAGTTGAATTCACAAATGTAAAATTATGTACAAAAAAATAAATACATTCAAAAATAAAATAATGTACAACTGTAGAGCCTACAAGTCCACTCTGTTCTATTTCTTGTTCAGCTAATCGCTCAAACAAGTTTGTTTACATTTGCAGGAGATATTGCTGACCACTTCTTATTTACATCACCTGAAAGTGAGAACAGGTATTGTAATAGCACTGTTGTAGACGGCATCGCAAGCTATTTACATGCCAGATGCGCTAAAGATTCGTATGTCCTATCATGCTTCAACCACCATTCCAGAGAACATGCATCCATGCTGATGACAGGTTCTGCTCGATAACAAGCCAAAGCAGTGTGGACCGATGCATGTTCATTTTCACCATCTGAGTTAGATGTCACCAGCAGAAGGTTGATTTTCTTTTTTGGTGGTTCACGTTCTGTAGTTTTCACATCAGAGTGTTGCTCTTTTAAGACTTCTGAAAGCATGCTTCAGATCTCATCCCTCTCAGATTTTGGAAAGCACTTCAGATTCTTAAACCTTGGGTCGAGTGCTGTAGCTATCTTTAGAAATCTCACATTGGAACCTTCTTTGTGTTTTGTCAAATCTGCAGCGAAAGTGTTCTCAAAATGAACAACGTGCTGAGTCACCATCCGAGACTACTATAACATGAAATACATCTCTACCCAGATATAACGCTGTCCTCGGGAGCCAAAAAATCTTACTGCATTATAGGTGAAACCGCATTATATTGAACTTACTTTGATCCGCTGGAGTGCGCAGCCCTGCCCCGCCGGAGCGCTGCTTTACCGCGTTATATCCGAATTCATGTTATAGAGGTGTATATAGCAAAATGCAGGTAAAATAGAACCGGAGACATACAATTCTTCCTTAAGAAGTTCAGCTACAAATTTAATTAATGCATTTTTTTTTAAATGAATGTCTTCAGCATGGAAGCATGTCCTCTGGAATGGTGGCCGAAGCAGGAAGGGACATACGAATGTTTAGCATATCTGGCACATAAATACCTTACAATGCCAGCTACAAAAGTGCCATGTGAACGCCTGTTCTCACTTTCAAGTGACATTGTAAATAAGAAGTGGGCAGCATTATCTCCAGTAAATGTAGACAAACTTGTTTGTCTTAGCGATCGGCTGAACGAGAAGTAGGACTGAGTGGACTTGTAGGCTCTAAAGTTTTGCATTGTTTTGTTTGAGAATGTAGTTATGTAACAAAACAAAAAAAATCTACATTTGTAAGTTGCACTTTTACGATAAAGAGATTGCAC